CCCCCCCCCCCCCCCTGCACAGGGGCACACGACTTCTACGATTGTACTGTTGCTATGATAGTAGCTACTGTCGGGGCAGATCTCTGTGACGGTGTGGGTGCGGGGGGGTGGCCGAAGGCCGCCCCCTTGCTCCCGCCCGTGTGTGTGTGTGTGTGTGTGTGTGTAAAATATCAAGTAATAGACTCATAATCGTTATATCACGAATGGAACACACACACACACACACGGGCGGGTGCAAGGGGGCGGCCTTCGGCCACCCCCCCGCACCCACACCGTCGCAGAGGTCTGCCCCGACAGTACTATCATAGCAACAGTATAATCGTAGAAGTCGTGTGCATATATGTAATACTATATATATGGTCGTGTGCCCCTGTGCAGGGGGGAGGGAAGTTACTTTACAAATAAAGTAGGTGCTTCCTATTTTCTAGATATTTACCATGGAAATCGTGTGCTCGTACACAGGGGGGAGGGGGATGATAGTTGCTTCGCGTAGAAGATTTAACACATTTACATAGGGAGAGGGGGTGCAGAATAGTACTTAATATCATACACGCATACACTTCGCAACATTCAGTACTTTACAAACAAAGTAGGTGTTTCCCATTTTTGATTTTCTAGATATATACCGGAAAGACATATTATTGTATTATACGAAATTAGACTTTTAGGTCTAAATATCTCAGAAACTATAAGAGACCGCCGCCTAGTTGTTAAGGCAAAGTTGCTCAGAATCATGACCTTGACAACATATGTCAAGTTCAAGGTCATCGGAGCTGGCTCCCCTATAGTGCATAATTACCGAATTTTTTAGTATGGAAAGGTATGAAAGGTACTGTAAGCCAAGAAACAGCTCTTTTATTCTCCAATTCATTAGCCTTTTCAACATGAGAAATTTGTCTATTTCTTTGCAAAAGTTTTATTCGTTGGTTGATTGTATCAAAAATAAATGAGAGAGGGTAGTCATTATCAAGTAAAATATTAATTATAAGTATATTAAATTCTTTTCATGGAATACTACGTCAGAAAGTAAAAAAGCTCTATCAACCAACGAATAAATTACACCTCTTTTTTGAGAAATTGGATGGTTAGACAGAAAATTGAGAAATCTACCTGAGAATGTGGGTTTACGGTACCAATCAAACCTGAATCTGTTATTAATTATTGTTATTAAGACAACAGAGACAAAGACTCCAATCTATTCATCACAAGATCAGCAATAATGGGAGATAAAGGAGAGCCCATGGGAGTACCAAAACATTGCTTGTAAATCTTATTGTCAAACGTAAAATATGTTGAATCCAGAATAAATTTAACGGCCTCTAAAAATTCAGTTTTTGATAAAGAACAGCCTCTAGAGATAAAGCTCCATTTTTCATTAACACAGTCAATGGCTATGTCTATGGGAATATTTGTAAAAAGTGATATAACATCTAACGATATAAGTTTATAATTATCTTTTACTGCAATATTATTTATTTTATCTATTAATTGGAAACTGTTCTTCGGTTGTGCTTCTCTGATATCTAGGACTCTAGGATAACCTAGAGTCCTAGATATTAGAGAAGCGCAACCGACTTAAGTCAGTATCGCAAAATTACTAAGAAAAGTAATAAAATTGGCGTCGTTTGCAGACGAAATATGAAATCCACCAATCGTCTATTAGTCAGCCATTTTTAATACCACTAAATGAATGTCATGATTGGCTGACAGTCAGCTAATCAGGACGCGGAACATCGGTTGCGCTTCTCTGATATCTAGGACTCTAGGATAAAACGGGGAGCACAGACTTTTGCATAACGCATAAAGCATGTGCATAAGGAATTTCATTGGTCCATTTTCTTATGCATGAGTCAATGGACCAATCAAATTCTTTATGTATATGGTTTATGCGTTATGCAAAAGTCTGTGCTCCCCGCTTAACGCTGCAGAAGCATAACATATGGCCGCTGGACCCAGGGTTGGGTTAAGCGGGGAGCACAGACTTTTGCATAACGCATAAACCATATACATAAAGAATTTGATTGGTCCGTTGACTCATGCATAAGAAAATGGGCCAATGAAATTCCTTATGCACATGCTTTATGCGTAATGCAGAAGTGTGTGTTGGGGCTCTTAAGCGGGGAGCACAGACTTTTGCATAACGCATAAACCATATACATAAAGAATTTGATTGGTCCGTTGACTCATGCATAAGAAAATGGGCCAATGAAATTCCTTATGCACATGCTTTATGCGTAATGCAGAAGTGTGTGTTGGGGCTCTTAAGCGGGGAGCACAGACTTTTGCATAACGCATAAACCATATACATAAAGAATTTGATTGGTCCATTGACTCATGCATAAGAAAATGAGCCAATGAAATTCCTTATGCACATGCTTTATGCGTTATGCAAAAGTGTGTGTTTCTCGCCTTAGGCCTATCGCACATGAAATTCATAACTGTGCATAAGCATAACGTAAGGCCGCTGCACCAATAAGCATCTTATGTTAATCAATATGGCGTCTTTATGCTGGATGCTCATTGGTCTAGCGGCCTTATGTCATAACATAAGGCTTATGCACAGTTATGCATTTCATGTGCGACATGCTATTCACACTGCATCTGATTTTCGTCGTACGACGACTCTGCAACCAATCAGAAAAATCGTATCATCGATACTAAGCAAAATTTTGTTTTCTGATTGGTTGCAGAGTCGTCGTACGAC